AAAAGAGGATCTTAAAATCTATTTAGAATTCAAGTTTCTAGATAAAATAATCTATAAATATTGTTTGCACTCTGAGTTTTAGTTTATACTTGTCTTCAGAATTTTTGCACAAATATACAGATAGCCCAAAACATATAATACTGCATTTTAATATCGAGCTTCACTTGCCTGATGCCTATAGAATCATAGAATCATCAAGGTTGAAAAAGACCTCTAAGATCAAGTTCAACTGTTAACCTAGCACCATCATGTTCATCATGAAACTATATCTTTAAGTGCCACATCCACACGTCTCTTGAACACTTCTAGGGATTCCACCACTTCCCTGAGCATCCTGTTCCAATTCCTGACCACCATTTCAGTGAAGAATTTTTCCCTTTCCTCCTGTAGGCTTGTCCCTGACCTAAAGTTTCACAGCAACAGTAGAAATTTAACACCCAGATGATACATCTTCCATTTTTTATGTCTTGCTCCAAAAGAGGACACTAAACACTGTTCTGAAGGATTACAGGCAAAGCAATTTATTTCCTCTTAATCTAATTCTGAAAACAAACCTAGTAAACACTTGAGTTAAAGAGCATGGTACTGAGTGGGTATATCATATCCCCTATCATACATCAGCTGCTGGAAAGGTTGAATGGTGTAATGGACTGTTGAAAACCGTTTTGAAGGAATTGGGCGGGATAACCTTCAAGCACTGGGATCAGAACTTAGAAAAGGCCCCCTGGTTAGTCAATACTAGAAGCTCTGTCAACCAAGCCAGCCCTGCATATTCTGAGCTCCTTCACACCGTAGGTGGTGTTGCCTTAGGGTTTTTTTGATTTTTTGATTTTTCTAATTTTTATAAGTTTTAGAAGTACTTATATAGTAAATGTAGATTTTAGAAACAGTTGCATTTATTCCCTCACCCTTTAGCACAGTAGCTACACATATCCGCAACCCTCTTACCCCATTCCATGTTCCCCATATCAATTCCCCCCTAAATTCCATTAGCATATTTAGTCTTCTTTTCAAGGTAGGCATTCTTCTGTTTAAGAACATCTGCTCCCTAGCCTCAACTTGGATGGTCCTCCTGTAGGGGTTTAAAAATAGCCCTGCAATATTTGGAAATCAATTGGTAAAAGAACTGGAGGACTGGAGAAATCAAAACCCTATTGGAGCCATTTTGATAGTCACTGTAACTAAACAGCAATGTTGGGATCAGACTGGCAATATTGAATTTCCTTGGACTGAGTGGATATAGGGTATCCAAAAAACAAAGTGCAAGTAGTCCAGACCACAGTAACCTACCTGGGTTTTGAAGTTCTCCAAGGACAACAGAGGTTGGGACAGGAACAGAAAGAAGTGATCTGTCAACTCCCACAATCACAAACGGTAAGAGAATTATGTGCATTTCTTGGGATGGTCGGATGGTGTCGCCTGTGGATCAGCAATTATGGGTTGCTAGTGAAGTCACTGTATGAGCTCTTGAAGACAGTTCGGAAGGACTTTATAGTCTGGACTGATGATTCATGAGCTGCCTTTTTGCAGCTCATGTGAGCCCTTATGCAGGCCCCTGCTTTAGGACTTCCAGACCCATTTGAACTATTCACCTATGAAAGACAAAATGTAGCACTGGGAGTATTGCACTTCCTGGGTGATCAGAGGAGGGTTGTGGCCTACTTTTCAAAACAGCTAGATAATGTAAGTCAAGGTTGGCCTAGTTGTTTGAGGGCAGTAGCAGCTACTGTTCTCTTGATCCAGGAAGCTCAAAATCTGACTTTGGGACAAAGTATTGTTGTTTATGTACCACATATAGTGCAGTTGGTACTCGAGCAGAAAGGGGGCCACTGGCTATCTCCTAGTCGTATGTTAAAATACCAGGTAGTCTTGCTGGAGCAAGACGATGTAACACTCAAAGCAACTTCTGTTGTTAACCCTGCCATGTTCTTATCTGCTGTAGTGGGTTTCTGTGGTCAGGTTTTGGTAGTGGCAGAAACAACAACTGACCGTAACCCCCATTCCCTGTCTCCCCGCACTGCTGGGGGGGAGGAGGTAGAGTTTGGAAAGAAGTAGGGGTGGGGGAAAAGTGTTTTTAAGATTATTTTATTTCCCACTCTTTTGCTCTGATCCTGTTAGTAATAAATTTAAGTACTATCCCCACTTTGAGTCTGTTTTGCTCGTGATGGTGATCAGTAAGTGACCTCTCTCAGCTCTTAACTCATGAATCCTTTGTTGTTTTTTTCTCTCCTCTGTCCAGTTGCAGAGGGGAGTGAGAGAGGGGCTTTAGTGGGTACCTGGTGTCCTGCCAGGGTCAACCCACTACATCTGCCCAACAAGTACAAGGAACGCCAGAGCATGATTGCTTATAGACTATAGAAGAAGTGTATTCCGGCAGACCTGACTTAGGAGACAGTCCCTTGGAAAGTCTTTATTGGGAATCATTTACCAATTGGAGAAGTTTGTTCCAGAATGGAAAACGATTATCTGGATATGCAGTAACTAACCACCATGAGGTAATCAAAACAGGGGTACTCCCCTCCGATGTTTCGGTCCAGAAAGCAGAACTAATTGCACTCACTCGAGCTCTGGAATTGAGTAAAGGAAAACAAGTTAATATTTGGACTGATTAGAGGTATGCCTTTGGAGTGGTACATGCACATAGAGCCATCTAGAAATAGAGAAGACTCCTGACAGTACAAGGAACACCGACCAAAATGTCGAACAAATCTTGCACTTACTTGAAAGTATCCAGAAACCAGCAGAGGTTGCTGTCACGCATTGCAGAGTACACCAAGGGGGTAAGACCAAACCAGAATTGGGGAATCATTTAGCTGATAAGGTTGCCAAAGAGGCAGAAAAAGGTACATTAGAGAATAAAGTTTTGGTTTTAATACCTCTCCCACTAGAAAGATCCGAGTATAGTGCTAAGGATTGTCAACTAATTGAAACCTTCGAAGTAAAATTTGATGTACGAGGCTGGGCAGTTATCTCAATCAGACAAATACTCTCCGAACCAATCTTGCATGAACTAGTGGACCGGGAACATGAGGATACTCATTGGAGTGCAGAAAAATTATTGAAACATTTGCATAAGTCAGTTATAGGTCCAAAAATGACACAAATTGTACAAGCAGTTAGCCAGCAATGTGGCATGTGTAAGAGAAATAATCCAAACACTGCCAATAAAGTAGTAATAGGAGCTATAAAATCTGGAAATGTTTCAGGTGAATATTGACAGATTGATTTCACCGAATTACCCAGAAAAGGGGGATATAAACATCTCCTAGTCTTGGTGGATACCTTCTCTGGGTGGCCAGAGGCTTTTCCTTGTCGCACCAACCGGGCTAGGGAAGTGACTAAAATACTGTTGAATCAAATAATACCTAGATTTGGGGTACCTTTGGGAATATCATCAGACAGAGGTTCCCACTTTATTGCAGAAGTGATACAACGAATCTGGAAAGTCTTGGGAATAGCTTAGGATGATCTTCATACTCCTTATAGGTCCCAAGCTAGTGGCAAAGTAGAGTGAATGAATTATACAATTAAATTGCAAATAGGTAAAATATGCCAAGAAATTTCCCTGACATGGGTCCAAGCTTTGCCTATTGCTCTACTTCAAATTAGAATTCAACCATGGGGTTCCAGCAAAATAAGCCCCTACGAGTTGCTGTATGTCCAACCCTACCAAGTACCACACGTTCCTGGAAACATATATGTAAAGGGAAAATTTGATCTGAATAATTACCTCATTTCACTTAGTAAAACCCTACAGGGTTTGCAGCCAGCAGTGGCGATCTCAAGGCTGACAGGGTTGGACACACCAGTACGTGAGTTTCAACCAGGAGACTGGGTCTACTTGAAAGACTGGGAAACCACTCTGCTCCAACTGAAGTGGAAAGGACCTTTCCAAGAACTATTGACAACTTTTACTGCATTAAAACTAGACTGAGTAAAGTCATGGATACATTATTCTGGATCTGAGTTTATAGCTTGACTCAAACGATTCACAAATTGATCATGTGGTTCATTAGGTCCCTGCTTGAACTTAGAATGTGAGGGTCTTGTTCTTTCATCCCTTACTGCAAGCAATGACTGATAAGCTAAGTTCTGACTAGTCCATAGTACTTCCTTTGAAAACTGTGTTTGCAAATTTACACTGTTGTACTGACCAAAACCCATGAGTATGTCAGCAGTAACACCAAAAAGAGGGTGTCCTTTCTGCTTAGATTGTGCAACCAGTGCTGCACAACTGGCTCTCCATTCGTTAAGAAATTCCACTTGCTGAGAAGGAGAAAGTAATACAGATATGATTATACGAATATCATATGGTGTTAAAAAATGAGCAGTAAAAAGATGCCACAGTACTACTTGTGTATAATCACTCTTTAAACCATACAGCGTAGCAGTTATTTTAACTTCTTTTAAAATTTTCCAGTCCAAAGCTTCCCAGGGTTCACTGTCAATTAAAGTTGAAACATTAGAGGGGGTTGTATTCAGCTGAACAAACTGTCTCTCTCCTAATTTAGATTCAAGCTCTTGAAAGCGAAGCAATAAAGTGTCTTTAAGGTCTTTTATTGCAAGCATAGTGGTTTTCTGGCTTCCATTGTCCAAGCTCTCATCATCAGAAGACAAGCTTGAGGATGGAAATTATGAAAATAGCTCTTTTGCATTACCACGATTAGGTTTTTCTTTCTCCTCTCGCAGCAGAACTGAAGCAGGTGAAGGAGCCATGCTCGCTTCGGCAGAGGCTCCAGTCTCCGTCGGAACGGTGGTGGTTTCTGCTGAAACAGCAGCTCCCGCTAAGACGGCGGCAGTGTCTACCAAGGTGGCAGTCCTTGACGAAATAGCTTCAGTTGCTACGGCAACACTTGTAGGGGTAACTCCGGCTACTGCAATTGCAGTTTCTGTGGTTGGACTTCCTGGTTCTGATGTGACGACTGTTGATGATGTAATTTCAGGCGACATGGTAGTTTCAGGCAGTAGCGATGCAGCGACATCTAGTGGCTCGGAGGCTCCTAGCAGCTCTGTTCCAGGCGGCGCATGTGCAGTGACAGCTTCTGGCTCTGCGACCAGCGCAGGCGCAGCTGGTGGTGGCTCTGCTGACAGCGCAGGCTCAGTAGAAGGTGGCAGTGCTGGCAGCGCAGGCGCAGAGAAGGGCGGTGGCACTGGCACTCGGCAGCGTCGCTCTCCGCTGCTCCTGCTTTTCTCATAGTCTCTGCATTAACCCTTGGCACAAATGTGCTGCTAAACTTAGTTCCGCTGCTTTCATTAGCGTTCGTGACTGTTCAGCCGCAGGCACTAGGACCTCCCCGCAGACAGACTCATTGGCATGGAGACACGTCGCAGTCCTGCTGCTTCCCGACAAAGTTCCCTGAGCAATTATAAGTTTTCGCTGCTCCGTACGTAACTCTTGCAGCGATTCAACGACTAAACACCAGACTTTAGGGTATTTCCTATATTTTTCAACATTTTTAGACCCTTTTTCCATTTCTTCCCATAACTGTTCCTTTATAGCATCCCATATGGATACCTCAAAGGCGGTTTGAGTGGAGGGGAGTAAATTCTTAGCTCTTGCCCAGACTATTAATCCTTCAAGGGCTTTTTTATCATAATTTGGCTCTCTTAGAGAGACTATATATCGGAGGAGCGTTTCCACAGCCTCATCCTCTTTGGATGCCGCGGGCCCCATGCATCCTCCCTCGGTCGACTTGCTTGGCCAAGGCGAGATTCCAACACCACCACGCGCGGTTTTCTCGTAGCACCGGGGACAGCACTACCTCACATGACCGCTTCCCTCAGCTCCTACCGTTCACCTTACGTCCCTGCAGAACTCGGTGAAGTAGAAGTCCCTGTGCATCGGGCGCCAGATATCGGCGGAGGGGCTCGGACAGAATTGCACACGAATCAACGATTGGCAAAAATGTCCCCTTTATTAGAGAAAAGGCAGCTTATATGCTGCTTGTGACACACAGGCATGTGATTCTTCCCCAGGTTGCATTGGATACATAAGAGAAACATACTGTGGTGTACAGTACTAATTGGATAACTGCAGGTGTCCATAAAACTTGTTTTCTTGACAAAACAACTCCTCCTTCACCTTGGCACAAGGCCTGCAGCCATATTAATGGCGCAGTAGTTTTACTGTTTGCACCCAGCCATGCCAAGGCAAAGGTCTCAGAAATGCAATAGAAATTGTTCACACAATTTCTGCCCTGCAACAATTAATAGCTTGTCACAAGTTGTTTTACTAAACTGAATGGCGCTAGATCTTCTTTTAGCATCACAAGAAGGAGTATTCACTGTCATTAGCACCAACTGTTGTGTATACATTGACCAGAGTGGTAGAGTGTCTACAGATGTCCAGGAAATCTGGAAACAAACTCAAATTTTACATCAGGTAGCTCAAGATGACACTTCTTTAGGTTTTCAAGAAATCTGGAATACCCTGACCTCCTGGTTACCTGATTTTAGGTGGCTAAAGAAGTTCTTTATAGTTCTAATCTTAATAATCAATGTATTTTGGCTTGCATCATGATTCAGTGTTGTAGTTGTTGTAATGCCTTACGCTATAAAATGAAATATAGATATTAAGAGACTAATTCCCTTAAGTAACTTAGTCTCAAGAAAAGGGGGGATTTGACAGGAGAAAAAGAACATTACTCACAGCATTCCAGAAGGACCAAAAAAGGACTTCCGATAGGGGTGTGACTATGTAAAGCAAAGTAATGAATATGTATTAAATAAGCAAGAATATCTATGCGTAATAAAAAGTCCTGTCTATCTGTCACTTAGCACCCTTGATTAGAGGATGTATCCTCCAAGCATCCAGCATGCTGAATGAAGAATGCCTGCTTTTTAACACCTACAAATTGGTGTTAAGGAGTTTGTTTCTGCTGCTTTTCGGCATCAGGAGGGACAGAAGATAAAGAACCTGAGCACATTGGAACTCGTTCTTTTTTCCCTGGCTGTTCACTGTCAGAGTTGGGACCATCAGAGCTGGGAGTGCCTGCTCGGAGGGAGAGGTGCCTGTCGCACGGCCAATTGCTGCCACTGCCTCACCCTCACCTCCACCACCACTTATCCCGCTACACTTCGAGATTGCGAAAGCAAAACAAAAGTTGCACCATGTCTGCAAGGAGCTGCAACTCCCACACCAGACTCGAGAGGGCAGTAACCAACAGCAACTCATTTGCCACAGTACTTTTCTTTGTTCTGTCGGACCGTGTAGCCCAGCAGCACAGGAATGGGAGCCATTGGGGAGGTTTTTTTGCCCTAGGGGGTGGGCTAGGTAACATTCTGCTACTGTTGTTATTTTTGTTGTTTTTTCCCTTTACAGTAAAATTGTAATTTTTTCTTCATTCAGACTCCTCGTAATTTTTACCCTCTCTATATTGGGGGGAGGGAAATAACAAGAAGGGAGGAAGGTTCATCTCCATTAGATGTCCCACCTCCCGAATTTATTGTCATTAAACCAAGGCACCCGATTAACAAGAAGTTCAGTTACCTTTACCATACCTTTATCTGTTGTCTTCTAAGCATCGCTAGTTCCCTCATATCTCGGAATGGCTGTAGTAAGTACTGGTAGAGTTCCATGGTAGCTTCTGCAAAACTACTGTAGGCTTCGTCTTCCATTTGATACAGTTCAAGCAGCTCTAACATGCTTTCTGTGTTCTTATGTTTTTCCAGAAGCTGTAAAAAAAAGTACTAGTTATGGTGAATGTGTTTAAACATTCCTGCTAAAAGTGAGCAATTAAACCCCATATTTTTTAGCCTATCATTTTGTATTATCCTGTCTACTCCACAAAATCATCACTCATACAAAAAAAAATCTTAAACCCCACGTGTCGCTGGGTATCTGTCGAAGGGGTCCCGGTCCAAGGGGGGAAGAAGACACACAACACACACGAGGATGGTGAGACAAAGGGATGTCTGCCTGCTCAGAGCAGCAGGCAGCTTTTTATTAGGTGCCAAGTTCCACTTTCCCATACACACACACTATAAACATTTTCCTGCAAAACACCCAGGAATGCAACACCTGCAGTTTGTTATACAGCTTGACCTTGCACTGTCCAGCTCTCAGGGCTGTTTCCATGGGAATGTGCAGTTATCTCCACCTTTCTCAGGGGAACGGTCTCACTCCCTTCAGCGCCTCTAGCTCTTCTACTTCTAGGGGGCCCGGGGGTTCCATGGGCCTGCCATCTCCCCCCACACCCACGCACATCTTAAATTTAGCAAATTAAGTATGAGCACATCTCTGATAAACTTAACTCAAAATGTATACCACTCCTATGAATTTTTTCTTTTCAAAAATCTTTGGAAGGTAATGAACATGAACATAGAGACAGTACAAAAAGCAACTTAGTACAAGAATCTATAACATAATAATCAGATAACGTACTTCACACATTTCCCACTTTCAGGTATGAGGAGTAAAGGAGTGATAGGAAAGGAGACGAGGAGATGTCACATTTTGATCTTTCTAGGCTTCTTTTTTTTTTCCTATCTGTACTTTGGACCTGCACAGTCCCATTATGTTGAGAGAATCTTAGATGCAAGACATATACTGCTTCAGGTCTGCTTGCACAATCCGGCCTGCTTGCCGGACGGCAGGGACCTGTGTTCTCCAGCAGCAGATGTGTGTCCTTCAGTAGCAGATATCAGAAAGCTGCATAGAGGAAAACAAGGAAGGAGGTTGTTATCCAGGGTGTGGGAAACCAGAAGATGGGACGGCCTGGAAATGTGCCTTGGCTAGTAGAGTCAATAAAGTTATAGATATAGTGTGTGAAAATGAATGTAACCAATAGAAAGTTAGAACAGAGCGTGTGAACCCTGTAGGACCCTTGATAATGTGTGTATTTTTGGAATAAAGTTAGAGCATTGACTGTACCTCCATGAGGATGTGTCTGACTCTGGAGCTCCTTTTTTTGCATCTTCTCATTTTATCTGGCACTCGGAAAGGTGATAAAAAGTGCGAAAAGGCAGAAGAATGCAGATAGCCGATTGATCTCCTTGCGGTCAGACGTGGTCGGTGACGTGAGAGGTTGATTGGAACTGGACAGAGGAGTTTCGGTCGCGGGGCCAGTTGGCGCAAACCGAGGTAGGAAGGATCGCTACCTTCCCCCTGTCGCTTGCTGCAAGCATGGAATCGGAGTTTGCTGCAGCTAAAAAGCTGCTGTTAGCTATCCTTGCTAAGCAAGGTGAAACAGTAGCTGAGAAGGTATTCGACAAGCTTATTGCTTGGGTCCGTGAAAACGGTTTTTTTAAAGTGCCCCCTCTCCTTTTCGCCTTTGAGGAATGGCAGGGTTTGGGAGATAGACTTTGGGACTTGACTACCCTCGCTGCTACTACGAAACTTCTCGGCCATGCAGTCATCCTGCTGAAGGGGGAGTGAGTCGCGGCCTGGCACACACTGCCCCAACCGAACCGTGTGAATTCGAACAGTGGCCACCGCCACCCCGTGCAGAATCGTGGTGCAGACGAACACCAGAGAGCCGCTATGACCGAAAGACCCCCACGGCGTAGCAGAGCAGGGCGAGGCAGTACCGTGGGGATAAAGCAGGAGCGCCCGAGAGCCAGCAGGAGAGCAGCCCGGCAGTAGTGGTGCAAGAAAAAACTGGGAGTGGCCCCAGAGGGAAACTGGGATGGAGCAACCCCGGAAAAGTTATCACTTCTTGTTGAAAAGGGGAGTAGGCTAGAAGGCTGCTTTCCCATGTTTCTGTTAACTCTCGTGTTGACTCTGTTGTCTGTCCGGTGTGTCGTTGTGGGTTCACAGTGTTGCTAACTATGCCATGCTAGTGTGTGCGTGTGTGTTAGGGGTTGTGCGTGTGTGTGGAGAAGCGACCATGGGTTTGTTAGTAACTGTTAAAACCCAGGGATGAGGGTCCGGGAGAGGTGTCTCAGATGACACAGGAGCATAGGAATTTCCCTTTGAGATTATTCAAACTGACACTGGTGCCGGCAGCTGCGGCGGAGAGGCGGTTTGGGCGCTGCGGGCTCGGTGTGAGGGTTGGCGGGGGCTGCAGTAGCCAGAACAGACACTAAACAACTTCAGCGGGTTCTCTCTCCCTCCCCCCCCTCCGCGAGGGTAGGGGAGGAGAGCGAGCGGGAACAGCAGCAGAGGCTGCAGTGAGAGAGAAAACCAAAATAACCATCTTTCCTTTTTCTGTTACTCTTGGGGAATAGGTATTTAAAACGAACAAGTACACATCTTTCCATAGTTCTTGTTTCCATCTCTAGCTCCTTAGCAGAGAAAGAGATAAGGTGTTAGTGGTTCACACAATAGAGATAGTTTGTTGCTGAGCAACTGAGTGGGAGGTACACCTCTGGCCAAACTCAAAAAAAAAAAACAAAAACCAAAAAAGTTTACATTACCAGTTTCTCGGGACTGGGAGGGTGTGTAGAACCCTCCTGCTTTATAGAGGTTGCAACTTTGCAATCTTCTGATTGGGGAAAGAAATATTTTTGCCTTACAGTTTGTGGGAGGGAGGGCAAAAAATCTAAAAAACCTCTCCTGTCTCGCTTTGAATCTCTCTGCCTACAGGATAGGGGGAGGAGAAGCAAAACACTGCAAACTGAAACCTCAGTCACATACCACAGTAGAGATTTAAAGAAAAAAAAAAGGGTTAGAAATAATATTAAAATTAATGAAAAGAGTCACAAATAAAAATGTATTCATTCTCTATCTGTCATTAGTAATTCTCATGAATAGAGGAACCAATCTGTGGCTCGAGCGAGCTTGACCAGAAGCTGGGAAGATGATGCAGAATACAGTAAATTAAGGAAACTATTCTAGTTGCTTTTTCATTTTTTCTATTAATCAGGACAACAAAAACAGCCATGCATTGGCCATTCAGTGCAGACCATGTATCTTAAAGAACAAAATACAT